ATTGAATGAATGCATTTATGGAGGAGCTTTTTCTCATGCAGCCGTCCTATATGAAAGGCTACAATCATTTCTAAATAAAAACCCAGAAACTGTGACAATTTAAAATTTCTTTAAATAAGATTTTAAAAACCCATTCCAGTTAAGCCCATTCAGCATGTTCTAAGAAAGAGTATCTTTTGTCTTTTGCTCCTTATTCATTCCTCTCCTTTTTTTCTTTCCCCAGTCATTTCCTCTGAGCGGTTCACTCATTCATGATTTTATTGCTTTTGGATTTAAATTGTTCTCACTATCTTTTCTCAAGAGAATAGAGTTCATAAAAAACACCTGCTTGCTCTCTACTCTTTTTTTTCTTAACTTTTCATCTCATTCTCCTTTCCCCCCAATCTGACCTACGATCTCTTTGCCATTCTCTATTCAACACTTCCTCTTTCTCCTTGTGTTCTCCGAGAGGGAGTAGTTCTCTGGTACTTCATCTGTCCAGTGCTAATGTTGTCCCAGGAGGCTTGGTGACCCTCTGAGTGTCTCCCTGCTGTGATTCTACCGAGTGAGAAACCATTACATCACCCTCTAGAGGCTAAAATGAGAAACTACCATTATTTTCTCCAAACTCTACCAACATTTATCAATCTGTCCCAAAAAAAATAGATGCCAATATAGAAGCAGCCGCCCTCGAAACACTGTCACCAACAAAACCAATAGAGCTTACTGACTGGCAAAAGAATTTTAAGGCTCTAACACATCAGCATCTTAACGAACCAAAAAGGCTAGTATATTCTTATAAAGAATATTTGGTCTTTCTCACCATCAGCCTAGTTGGAATCAAACCACACAAACAAACATTAAAAACATTCTTCAGGATTACACAAAACACACATGAAATAATGACACATCCTCACAATTCCAAAGAAAGTTTATGAATTCATCTTCCTAAAATGTTAAGATAAAAAAAGACTACCATGAATAGATCTCCAATCCAAAAGTATTTAGAACGAGAGTAGCTTGACTAAATAATATTATTCACCTGGTTTGTAAGTTTTACTGTATTTACTTGTATTGTCTGGTCAGATTGGTCTGTTGGTATTGAGGGGTTTCTGGTCAGACTGAGAGACCATCGTAATCTAGCAAACCAGATGTTTCAGGGTTTGTGTTGTTTTTAACAGGGGCACCCTATCAAATAATTTTATATTAACTTGCCCCGTTAAGTCTTAGCCTATTTGACTACATTATTCCCCATGATTTTTCACTTTTTTTGAGCGGCAAGGAAGGACAACGATAGGTCGTATTTCATGCCAGCTCAGCTTCTTTCCCCTTAATAATTTTCTCACACAAACAAAGTTGAGCTCTGTCCACGTGTGTTTCGCTACTCCCGCGTGACAGGTCGTAACGCGCGGCGATGAAATCCAATGTCAATACCGGTAGAGTCGCCGGGGGTGCTTGTCCGCGCCGCCCCATAAAGACCGTCATAAATACGGTAAATACATCAGTGTATATGGTGCACGTTAAGAAATACCGCGTTTTCACGGAGAGATTAACTTTATGAATGGGTTTGTGGGTCACGGATGGTTTGGCGTGTCGTTTCATTTGAGGCGGATTGAGGATGCTTCAGTGCCCTCAGACATTTAATCGCCGGTTACCGGTTCTGTGATCGGTCTTTTTCTCATATGCGCACTAATAACGGCTCACCTCTGGATTTGGCAGCAGTGGGTCGCGCCCGCCGCAATGGGGTCTCTCTCGCCTTTCTTTCAAAGGGATTTTTTCTTAATAGTTTTTTCTTCCTCCCATATACCCGCGTTCCTCGCGCTGCCACTTCCGCAATAAAGCCCTTGGCTGGCTGCCACGCGGCCATTAGCACTAGCAAAATAACTGTTAACAATATGGTGCCCAGACACAGCAATTCCGACTCTAAAGTTTAACCAGCCGACATGGTCTGAGTACAGTGATGCCAGAGGTTACAAAGCGAGGATTAGTAAACAAAGGCATTTTACACTTGAGTGCAGTCTCATCTGTGCAATAAGTGCACAGTTTATTTGTATTGATGCTTCACACCTGAGAGGAACACATTCATTTATAGTTTAATATTGCGAAGACGTCTGTGAAAAAATATTATATTTATAAATAAGCCTAAACTTAGTTGTGCAATTCCGATGAAATTAAACAGAAATGTGTTAATTGCGCGCTGCGGGATAAAGATAAAGCGCATGCAGTGTTTCCTCTGCTTTATATCACAGGTTATTATGAGCTGAAAAGGCCTGTTATTAGGAACGGTTTTAGGTCAATCAAAAACGAAAATGTTCAGTGCATGTAATGGAAATGATATTCTGCATGATAAATACGCCTATACAAATTGGAGAACAATGAATATTTTTTGTACATCAACTTTGTCATTCTAAAAAGATTTGAGCATTTAAATGATGTTGTAGCCTATACATATTCGCCAATAATAAAGGAACTATCAAATCAGCATAAATGCGCTATAGTTGCAGATTACAGTAGCCTAATTCAAGATCAACATACAAATAATTAAAAACCGAAATAATTAAATAATGGTTGAATAAGAATATTAATTTCCTTAAGGTGATCACGTCTAAATTGATAATAATAATAATAACGAGAATGAAGTATTTTGGTGATAATGTACAGCCGTCATAATAAAGCCACATTAACTATAGCCTATAACTTAACTCATAATTTGTTCATGAAAGACAATCATAACCGCAGAACTAAAATAATTTAAGTAGGCAAAATTAATAAAATATTTTTTTATAATAATGCATTGTATTAACAATAGTTTAAAAAAATGTTTGGGTCAAAGTAAAGTATTGAGGTTCTGTTTTCCATACTGAAAATATTGAACGTGTTGGCCAGCCTCATGCAACGTTTAGATCAAAATTAAACTCGTTACCAGAATATGAGGTGCAGCGCTGCACGTTCATATTGGCGAACCAATTAAAACAAATATTTTGGTAGTATTAATAACCCAAAATGTTGCTGAAATTATAGGCGTCACAATGTTTCAAATATTAAATGCACTCGATTTCTACTGTGTAAATCATTTAGGCTATGGGAAGCCAAGACCGAACATATGAGGATCGAATTATTTAGGAATTAAGTAAGGCTGAATACTGTGTAATTTACTCATCATTAGCCTCCATTAACTAAAGTAAAGGTGTTTTTTCTCTCTAAACTTAACTAACATCATCAATAAAAACAACAACAACAACAATAATAATTTCATTATTATTATAGGCTATTGTTGTTGTTATACATTATATATATTTAAGAAACTTAAATATATATATATAATTCCGTAATTTCTGAAATAAGCTGTCAGACATTTAGCCCATCACAATACGAAAAAAAATCATCCATATACTTTTTTCGTATTTATATTGTACAGGTCAACATAATAGTGGTTAATGCTATCTGGAAAGCATCAGGATATCGTCTGTGACGCGACATTAAACGAAGAGAGAGTTAATATTATGTGGGCAATTCACTGGAGCATGCGGTAAACTGTTACGAAAATAATCAACAGTGTATTAAAATGCCAGTTTCCTGTAAGTCTGGTATATTTTATGCATATGCATAGCCTATTTATTTTATGAATGTAGTGCTAAATATTGCTGCTTTAGCACAGACAATTGACTTATACAAATTTATATAAAACAATGTAAAGATTATAAAGTGACAAGTGTCATTTAAGCTTTTTTAAATGTGAATTAATCGTATTTTAATAACATTATTTTATAATAAATAATAATTGTATAAAATACGTAGGCTATGGTTTTAAAATAAAATAGCGTATAATTTATGCCATGTCTCTTTTTCATTTATAAACAAGAAATATTTTTCTTGGTCATATTTTTTTACTGGTTGACAGAAAGTCAACATGCATTGTGTATGTGCATAATACACAGGCGTGCTCCAAATGATTCTCACTTGCGCGTGGGACAAGAACTCTCCAAATGGCCGTGCAATATTTTGCACGTTCCAAACGGCGGGTAGATGGAGCACCTACATTACACCCACAACATGCTCTAAAAATCACATGGGTTTAAATAAATAAAATCATCTAAAAGCATGATAACCTACTTATCGACTTGGCCTAAATTTGGAAGAAAAAAAATTCTTGGTAAAAACAGGTTTAAGTCAAATTGATATTTGGCCAAGTACATTATTTTTTCAAAAACCCAGTTTCTTTTAAACCATCTGAAATCTTTTTTCCCTCGATTTCAGATATAACAATAATATTAAAAACAAGAAACGCAAACAGCCTATCGAAAATAGGCTACATCATCAATCATAATGCTCAGCCTTGTGTTTAAAGAAAAAAAAAACGTAACTCGAAGTTTCATAATTGCATTGTAAATTTGTAGGCTAAATTTGTAGGCTATTTAAACGTATTCAAATCAATGCAAACACTAGGGTACCTACACTTTTTAAAATAAAAATCTTTTGTATCGTATTTTGCAGTCAGGCGTTTTAAAAATATCCAAAAATAATGTATTATATAAATTTAACAATAATGGCATTTGTTTTGGGGATTTATAGAACCAGGGAATTTAGTCTCGTAGTAAAAATGAGTGCTTCTTGGGGACTTGTATTTAGAAACTGTAGACTGCACGTCTCATGTTATAGTTTGACAGGTCTTATTGCTGGGCCTCACGCAGATACAGGCGTAGATTTGGTAATAATTCTACACGATTGGCTCACGAGGGCTAGTGGGGAGGTAATGTGGAAGCATGTGGAGCATGTGCAGCCGCAGTGTGAAAATGATCGCAATGCCGCGAGCATGACTGGAGCTCAGTGAGCTAGAGATGATTCATTCTGCCGGGCCGCTTTACCACTTATGGGCGGAACGTTCTACACGAGGGGCCGAGACGCTGCGCGCCTATTGGCAGACACCACCGGTGATTGACGTGAGGCAGCCACGCCCATCTTCTGCCCTGGTTATTGGCACTTTAACGAATCTCGGCCACTGCCTCGGTGTCTGTGCGCGTTGACAGACCGATGAGACTGTTTTAAATAGACTGTTGCTTCGTTTTCAACGTCTTTGTCACAGCGCCCGTGGTAATTAGCTACTGTAGCGGACTATTCTGACTCAAGGAATGCTAGATTAAGTGCTGTTGCAAATGCACTTCTCGTGAACTTCTCTTTCTCGGCCAGTCTGTCTTCTCGGTTTGTTACCATGACTGAGAAACGACGGTCCCCGTGTACTATGAGCCTTAAAGCGCACGCATTCTCGGTAGAAGCGCTTATTGGGACGGAGAAAAAAAGAAAGCTGGAGGAGGACAATGAAAACTGTTTCGAGGAGGAAAACGAGGGGTCGAACCTGACAGAAAGCCCGCAACCCCGGCCTGGGAGAACTTGTCCAAGCACCAGGAGCTGCGAGACAGACTGCGCAAGCGACGAATCCCGTAAGTAGCCTTCTAGAGTTTTGACTGCAACTAAAACGGTTAGAAATAATATGTTCTGCGTGACACGTGCGCGAAACAAAACTATTTTATATTTTTATATTTGTAATTCTGTCGGCTGAAAAGTAACACTGTACGAAGAAAATACACCCGCCGTTATTCTGTATATTCTGCAGGCTTCTAAATAAATGCGAAACAATAATTGACATTTAAGAAAAGAGTTTTTTTAACAAACACAATTCTCAAGTAAAAACGCCTTTGTAATTTGGAGTGGAATTTAGAGTTGTAATTTAGATATGGAGTGAAGTCACGGTGACAAAAGACGAGAAATACAGTGGACAAACACAAAATAACACAGTTATGAGTCTCATAAATATAGGCACTAAGAGAGTGACTAATCTATTCTGTTTATGAGTTTGGCCACAATCATAAACACTCAAATTAACTTGCCTTCACGAAAGCCTAAATAGGCCTACTCGTAAAAAAATAAAGAAATAAATAGGCTAACTGTTGTACAGCTGGAATAAAATGTATAAAAAGTCGATTCACTTTTTCGATGTCTCTTAGAATTGTTTTCTTTTTAAAGTAAACTAATACAGTTCTTGTAATTCGTCACAAATGCACAAGTTAAATTAAATTTAATTCTTAACAATAATTCCATGATTGGGGCCAAACCAAATAAATGAAACAACAATAACAACAACAACAACAAAAAACCTTCAGATTATTTATAATTGCCTTGTAATGTTTAACAATATTAAAATATAAAAAGTCTATAAATACATGCAAATGACTTCTGAGCAAGGAAGACCATATGAGTCAGATAACCATCGCAAATCCTTTTGCATGCCACTTTAACACTGCAACAGTAGTTTAAATTAAAAGTTTTCTGCAGGTAGACTAGTTAAAATATACAATAATTAAGACCACTTTTTTTTCTCTTTCTCAGCGGAGTCTGAGGACGTGTTGTTGGATAGCCCACAACCTGCATCCCAAGGCTCGCAGGTCCTCGTGCAATCAGCCACGAGCTCCGGGGAGGAGACGCGCGTGGACCTGCAGGGCTCAGACTTGTGGAAGCGATTCCACGAGATAGGAACTGAAATGATCATCACCAAAGCCGGCAGGTGCATCACACAAAACATGCTGTACAGTTTCATAATCAGCAGCTAAATATCACCATATTCATCATTTGTATTTGAATATAGTGGTAATGTAAAAACAGTTTTTTATACATTCTTAGTAAAATACGCTATATGACTAGATTTAGTATCTTTTGATAGATGTTAAATGTTACTTTCAGATACATGGAGGAATTGAATACTATACATTTGAACAATGTTTTTGAAAATGTCCATAAAAGTGCCAAAATGTCGAAGATTTAAAAAAAATACATATAGGCCTCTATTTACATTTATTTCTATTAGGCGTGGTTTTGAGCATTACTTACAGCTACGTTTGTATTTGATGTTGATTTTTGCTGAATTGTATTTATTCATATTGACAATTTATTTAAATCAATGAACTATACACTAAATTAATTGAAATTATATATTTGGGATATATTATATATTTCACGCAAACGGGTAACATAGCCTAGCCTACTGTGTTTTTATATATGGTTAGAAAAATTATGCCCACATTAAGGTAAAAACTGCGCACTTAGGAAATCTGGATTTTGCCTCAATGTGATGTAGCCTATAGGCCTAACGAAAATATTAATATACAATGTCATTTTATCCCAGGCGAATGTTTCCCGCGATGAGAGTTAAGATTGCGGGACTGGATCCTCATCAACAGTATTATATCGCTATGGATATTGTTCCCGTCGACAACAAACGGTACAGGTGAGCAATTTACGAAACTTGTCTTCCCAACTGATCGCTGTAGGGCAGCCTGCTGTAGGCTATTGTAGACAAATGATAGAAACGATCTAAAATGTGCAAACATAATATTGAACATTTTGAACTAACCATCTCCACAAATGGCACTCCCGGACGTGGTTGACATGTTCAGTCCGGCCTTTTGCGATGCCCTTTTGGGAGCTTGACCTGCTGCACCCGAAGGTCATGAGACAACTGCAGTCAAAACAAATTCATAACGCGTTAGTTTATGGCGGGCACCCGCTAAAATAGAGTTCGCGTGAAGAAGTAACCATAGCAACAGTAGGCCTACTCGGCTGAAGTGCTTACAGTTCATTATCGGTCTACAAAACACAACTGCTGTCATTATATTATTATTTACACAGCACACATAAGCAATATCAAGGCCACCTGTTTTGTTTTAAAGATCTTTATGGTCGTAGACCTGTACTCACTACAAGCCATTTGCGTTGCGCGCGACGAACCTCAAATACATTGCCTTCAGAAAATTACTGACAGAAATTGCTTTGAAAGGTCGAGCCGTGTATAATATTATCTAAAATTCACATTATGTGACACTGACTCTTTTTTTTCCATTCCAAGGTACGTGTACCACAGCTCGAAGTGGATGGTAAAAAGCAAGCACAACCGAAGCAAGTATCAACAATATAAATAATTGTATTACTTTGTTACGAGATATGCACAATTAAAATAGTAATCAGCTAAAAACAGAAATCAACACATAATTATCTGGACTCTATACTAGCCTGTATACTTTTTAATTTGTTTTTGCCTCGGGTACAGAACCATCATCACTATGCTGCTCACAGAAAATGTATAAAGCTAAGCTATTCTGTTGTGACAATAATAGTTATTTTTATAATAAACCCATTTAAATTGCAGAACTCTCTTATTTAGGTTACACTGCTAGGAAAATTGTAAAATTTACAAGCTGATTAATTGAAATAATTATACAAATTATACCTAAAGCATTTGGGAGTTGAAGGGTTCTTGTTCTCTGCAATCATAGATCAAAGCCTCTATGAGACTGAAAGAATGAGCAGCACCCCATAAAGGTCGATTTATTTATAAAGAGCACAGTGAGTTACATAAGTGTTTATATAGGCATATGCATCGACTTTCCTGTGCCAACAGTTCAGAAGCATGTATTGATAAATTGCAACATAGGGGGAAAAAAAGATAAGTACTTTAGAAATTTTGTTTTTTATATTTTTCATTGAAATTACGTTTGTTTTGATTTGCTAAAACAGATTAATACCAGAGCATGTTTTAGATAAGTTAGAGCTCGAAATCTTATCATAATTTTCATGTTAACTGCCAAGTTTTAGAAATTATGTCATCCATTTGTCTGAGCTTATAAAAACTCAACACACATGCTCTCTCACACACACATATGTGGAAGCAAAAAGCTTATAAAATAAACCCACACACATTGTATTGTGGGATAAGGGTCACTGGTGCTAGGTCAGGGAATTTGACATTACAGGCTTTGGGTCAGTAAGGAGAATGTGTTTTGTGTGTGGATCTTTTACAGATAACAAGACTGAAGATCGACAGGAACCCTTTTGCAAAAGGATTCAGAGACTCGGGAAGAAACAGGTAAAGATCAGTAGATCTTGTTGTTAGTTGTTAGATCAGTAACTACACTAATACTGGCACTGAGGGAAAATGTCTTCCAAGGTTTTTGAATAAATTTTTATTGACAGAAATTGATCACAGCCAAGTCAAACCCATCTAGCACAGAATAGATCATAGTCTTACTAAATGTGGACAAAGTGTGTAGTTTCTGCTCTTTTTTTTTGTAAGGCAGTACATAAATGACACTTAATTGCATTTATTTTTCTCTAGCTTTCTTTGAGGCAAGAAAATGGTTTTGTTTCAAACTTCTCTTCTGACATCAGTATAAAGTTATTTCAGAACTATCAAACCATATTAAAGGATTATCATATAATTGTTTATCCAAAGGGAAAAGTCTTCTTTAAGCCAAACTAAAAGATTCCAGCAAAGCCCAGACAAAATAAACACAAAAACAGCGTCACATTAAAAGCCTTTACACAAAAATAAATGTACAAATGAAAATACACAGCACAATAAAAAATAATCTCCATCTTCACATAAAACAAGAGAAATAATAAATGTGCAAACAGGAAATGGAGGCTGTGCAGAAATAAGGCTTGTGTGACACTGGCTCGCAAGCTCAGTGGGGAAGTTTAACTCTGCTCATTAGATTTAAACAAGAGCGTTTTTAACCCCCCACTGAATCACACCAGACCACATACATCCACTTTTGCTCCGTCCCTCTGCGAGGTCTCGCAGAGCACTTAGACCAAGCCCCGTGTCTCAGTGTTACAGGAAAAGTTAAGCAGTTTGCTAAACAAACTCGGCCACTTGATAGCTCAAGTGGTGTGGCTGATAAAACTGGGGCCGAAACAAGTTGAGGCATCTTGTGTGAATTATCGCCTGAGTGGTACTGTGGAGGGGGTAGGGTAACGTCCACGTTAACAAGGCGCACCGAGCACCACCATTACTTCCAGAAAAAGCAAGAAAATGCCCCCCCCCCTCCTTTTTTCTTTCTCTCTCCTCGTAAAGCTTTAACTGTGGCTTCCTGCACTCTATGTCTGATCCCACCGATAAAGTTATGTGAAAATAATTATAGCCTTGCCATCGTACACACCAACACACACACTTTATGTTCTTCATTACCTGCTCTGCTTTACTGGCCAAATACACACCGATAAGGAAAGGGCCTTGTAGAAAGATGGCTGGCAGGATTGAACACACTGTTGGAAAGTTTAGCCAGTTGCAGAGCTTTTCTGCTAAGTGGACAGAGTTTTACTGAATCACTCTTGCCTTTGTTTTTTTTAACATATTGAGAGTTCTTGTATATCTTTAAAGAGTGGCATATGTTTATTAATCAGAATGCTTGTGCGTTGTAGGATGGGACTAGAGGCTCTGGTTGAGTCGTATGCGTTCTGGCGGCCCTCACTCAGAACTCTGACATTTGAGGACATCCCTGGAATCACTAAACAAGGTACCATGTGTGTGTGTCTGTGTGTGTGTTTCCCTGCCTTAATACATCATTGCACAATGGGTTTATAAGTATTTGTTAAAGGGGTCCGATTATGCTTTTTCACTTTTTCAACTTTAGTTAGTCTGTAATGTTGCTGTTTGAGCATAAAAAGATCTGCAAAATTACAAAGCTCAAAGTCCACTTCAAAAGGAGATATTTTATTTAACAGAAATCACTTTTCAAAAACTACAACCAACAACTCGTTTGGACTACAACGCATATTTTCTGGGATTTGTGATATCACAAATATCGATGAATGGGACAAGACCTGGTTGAGCTGCACTAGAGAAGGCAACAAGTGTTATCACTAGGTAGGAGACACGCTAGCGTTCCCAAGGCAGATGAACTTGGAGTGTTTACAATAATTCGGGTTTAAATCGCCCTCAAATTGATTTGATTTTGATGCAATATTTACACTGAAGCTCGCAGGCGGCTACGGTAAGGGGCATGACATTTCCCGAGCAGGCGCCCGAGTGCTGTCAATCACAACACGCACTGGCCCAGCTAACCAATCACAGCACATTTCATATTTCAGAAGGCGGGCCTTCATTTGATACAGGAACTATTCGAGCCGTTCATGCCAGACTGGGGAGAGAGGTGTTGTAATAATGTAAAATATGTGAAAAATAATGTGTTTTTCGAATAACCTAGTATGAGAGCCTGTTCTAGTACATCCCCAAAACAAAATCAAGACTTTGTAAAAGAGCATAATAGGACCCCATTAAGAATTAAGGTGCGTCACATTGGTGAAATTGCAGAGAAATTTTGCAAGTAAAAAGGTTTTGTCTAATTGTCTCTTCTCAATAGCGTAGAGATGCAAGAAGCACCGCTCACACCAAGGTTTTTGTTGCTCCATGTTGCAAATTCATGTGACCAACTTGAAAATAAGCGAAACTTGTGTGGGGAATTTTTTCGCCCTCACACAAAACTCCAAATTGCACAGATTCCTACTGGAAATGCGAGCTAAAATTTTGCAGAACAACGATAAATGTGACCACACGCCTTTAATTTCTTTGGAATAAAAAGATTTGTGCTCCCTCAGAGAGAGCGTTAACCCTTTAATCCATTTTTTTGTACTGTCATTTTAAACCTGTATGACTTACTTTTTTCTGTGGAACAAGAGAATATATTGTAAAATGTCAATTTTTTACGATACAATGAACGTCAGTAGGGTTAAATGTCTGGAACAATGTGAAGCTAAATATTTTTGGGTGAACTAGCTCTCAAAGAATTTGAGAATGCCCTTTATATTCAAATTCAATTCCTGAAACAGGACACAGAATTGCAATTTGAATATGATTGCAGAATGAAAGAATTCAAAGAAAATTATATAAATAAAATTTGAAAATAAGCCAATTCTTCAAGTATGAAATTTTGTATTAGAAAACTAAATACAAAGTATTTTTAAAATAGTTAAAGAATAAATTTGATTTTATGTTTATTATAGCCCTTATGTAGCTCCACCCCTTTTCAGCACTGCACTCATTCTGTCTTCCGTTTGTATTTCCACAGTGTGAAGGTACAAATCAAAGTCGTAAGAATTTATGAATGAACTGCTCACTTTTAAATCTTCTCGGTCTACTGACATTTGTTATGACATCCTCTTTGAACATTACAATGAATATGATAACTTTCGTTAACTCTACAATAAGTAAATCCACTTCACCAGCTAATTACTCTTCAACGGTGATGCTAGAGATACTGCAAAAACTGAAGTTTTTAGACAAAATTCTAAAAATGTTTCTCTGATGCACAAGGTCTATATTTATTTTATGTTTTATGTGTATGTTTTGTATTAATCACGTGTAATTGAAATGTATGACTGCTCACAGGTGCAGCTGGCTCTCACGGTGTTGTTGGGTCTTCAACACACGCGCATCTGCTGTCCTCATCCTCATGTTCTTCCCCTACATTCCACCTGGGTTCCGGGGCGGGGCCAGTGTGTGATTACTCCACCTGCAGTCGAACAAGCCACCCACTCCATCGCTACGCCCCTCCCCTCTCTGCAGACTCCTACAGTCGATTGGCCAGCCCAGCAGCAGATGCGTTTTCCACTACTCGGAGCTCCACGTATGTGAGCGGGACTGAAGGTGAAGCTTTCTCGTGCACACAGACTGGCCTGCCAATCCAGATCCACAGCATGCCAAGCACAACCTCCCAGCTACAGTACCTAATGCCCAGCCACACCCATAATGCATTTTCCACCAATCAGAGCACACAGGGTTCCTATAACGGATTCCGCCTGCACAGCCCGTATGGTCTCTATGGTTACAACTTCTCCACTTCTCCTCGCCTGGCCACCAGCCCTGAAAAGACAGCAGCTACGCAAAGTTCATTCCTTGGCTCCTCCCCTAGCGGGACACTGACGGACAGGCAGGTTCTATCCACTGTGGACAGTCTGCACATGCTCAGCAGTAGTCAACAGAATATTTTTGACTCACGGACTTTGGGGTTGACAAGCTCCACCTCCCAGGTGACAGCCCACATGGCTTGACCTGCATCCCAAAAACTTTGACGGACTTCAAACTCAGCTAAGAATGTTTTCTTTGAGTATAAACTACTTTAGAGGACTAGTCAATAGTATAATTTATAATCTGCTGGAGGTTCATCACTCTCGCAAGAGTTGAGAGAAGGACATACTGCGATGAAAAGGAAAGGAGACATATCAAAATGTAAATAACTGAGAGAAATCTGCAATATCATTTATGTTTTTCTGTAAATGACAGCTGAAGATCACATTGAGGATATTTTTAAACAGCCTTTATATCTTAAAAATCATTCTGATGAAGCAGCACAGACCATTTTTGGACACTAGGGTATGGAAATGCCTGAAGAATAACGTGGGAAGGCCAGAAAATACTTTACAGACACAGTTTCACGGCATAAAAGGATATCAACCATCAGATCTCATCAAGGTTCAATGAGACCCCTGAACTGCTGGTAGAAGTGTGAGGAGTTTAACAGATGACTTTTGTGAGGCTGGACTCAGCGTCTTATGGACAATAAAACCGAGTTTGGCCCTTAAAAGTGAGCAGACTGGAAAAAAAGACAGGAAGTGATGTCACAAACACAGGCTGCAATGACATTGCTTTTAACTACATAGTTTGCAAGGTGACAATCAGCAGGTAACTGTCACTCTGGGCAAACGTCTTGTTTGTGCTGAGGTTTTAAGCACATCCAATCAGCATCTATGGCAGATAATGTGGTTTAATATGAAACTGGACGAAGAAAAAGGAAACGTGGGCTAGTGTTTACAAATTCTCTCCAAGTCAAAGGGTTTTGGCCTGGATCAGCACTGCTGTCCGAGTCTTGGAACAGACAGGGCTGAATGAAATCTGATCTGAGATGATAATTCTCACACTTTATAAATAAAACCATTGGCATTCTTCAGAAAGATTATAGTCCTGCCACGAGATACATGCTGATTCCAGGTCAGCTGTCTCGCTCTCAATCCAAGGACTGAAAAGAACGCTTTTCCCTTGCCGACATGTTAGATTTTGCTAATTTACTTGTAAAAAATTTAATTTTTCACAAATATGGAGAATATGAATATTATTGATACTATGTAAAGATTTCACTTGCACTTACGGCAATTTTAAATACTTGCTTTTTCATATTCAGGCTTTTTTGCCAGAGTGGCCACAATAGACACTTCCTCCATGTTTGACTCTTGTTGGCCTGAGAATTAGAAAACCCTTTGAGCCAAATAAAATATATCCTTATGCAAAAGCATAATTGTGGAGTGTGTGCATGTGTGTTTCAGCATCAGATGCTTCTCTTGGGGTCAGGCAAAGGATCTGAATGCCTAACAAATGAAAAATACCACCAGGGGCTCCTGGAGAGCAGCACACACACAAACAAAATGCTTTCATGCACACAAAGACATAAAGTTTGAACTTGCAACCTTACAGTTTAAATACAAAAGTGAACTTCTGTCACTGAGAGATCAAACATGCCAACAACATTATTCTGTTTATGTGAAATGGTAAATGAGTGTGACATTACACACACACTCGTCATGTACTTGTAATGTGGTTAGGTTGCAGTTGAGAATGTATGTGTATCTTAAGGAGGTTATGCAAGACCTTCTGAACACTACTAACTTTCAACACCTAATATTCCGCAGATATAAAAACAAATTAGGGGACTTTAAACAGGTAGTGTTTGAATTTTGGCTTATTTTTTTAAACATTAAATACTCAAACAGCACTAGGAATTTGTACTAGGAGTTTACTGTTTTAATACATTTTGTTACTGGTAGGACTGGGTCAGTCTTCAGAACCAGAACCAGTGAGACACCTGTTATGGACAAACAGCATGTGCAGAGAGAGAGAGAGAGAGAGAGAGAAGGTTGTTGGGTGCTTTTTTATTTTAGAACAGAGGAATGGTTGGCTTGCTGTATCTCACTAACAGGTGACAGCCCCCCTATGTTTGGCAAACCTTGCATACACCCATATCCTTATGCACACACACTCACACACCTCACATTACTGGCTCATTATCAGTAAACATGAGGACATTAACTCTCTTATTAGCTTAAAATGAATCATTTAACCAAATATTCTTAATTTCTTAAGTAATAAAATAAAAATATACACACACATATAAACATATAATATATATATATATGTATTTACTATATATAAATACACATGATATATACATATATATAAAGAGAAGAATTACTTATATACACTTCACTTTAATAATCGTAAAAAATAACCATCCATTATCAGTTAACTTAAATGGCAATAATTTAAATAAGCGAATGAAAAAGAAGCTTGTTTATTTTTGCCCATAATATTTTCAGATCCAGCAATAAAGTGTCATATAACTCATCTACAGATGCTTTTTAGATTGCCTAGCTAACATGTCTTGTGTATTGGTCACCACCATTCTGCCAGGGCTCTCTTTTCCTGTCAGTGTGTTGGCATACGGGATCAACTTTCGGTCCCTCACTGCCTGGCACCATCATCTCTCTACAAGGCCAACACAGTGTTACATTTTCACACTCCTGAGTTCATCTCATAGGTCTTACAGACATCAATTATGTACTTCAAGGGGATTTTTATTGATTGTGCAATCTATCTTTTGCACATTTACATCTGTTCAACATTCTAAGTACAGAGAGTTACAGAAAATTATGTCAGAGCTTAAGTCATTAAAAACTTGTCAATTGGTAAAAAGCAAGTTTCCTTACTATATACAGTAAAAAACTGTAATAAATCTAAAAAAAACAGTCATCATATACTGTAATTAGAATTATCTGTATCAGGCTTTACATTTGATGCTATTTGGTTTAAACAATTACGTTTCATGTTAGTTTGTGCTATCAATTATATACACATATTGTTGCTTATTTAATGTTTATTGCATTAGTTTAGTGTCACTTGTGTTACCATGATGATGTTTTGTATTAGTGTGCCTGACACTGTGTGCATCTTTTATACATTAGTATTTACCTCAGCTTGTGGAAAAGTTACTTATGATGAACTTATGATATAATATTAACATTACAATATTAACATTACAGTTGACGAAATTTAAGTTCAGTCCTGTAAAACCTACAATGTTGCTCCCTTATACGATAAAGTTACAACAACCACAGCTGCCTTATTTTCCTGTAAAATTTCAAGGATAGATTTTTACACTGAATGAAGAGGAAACAGATAAAAGTATTTTATGTTTAAAACTACAATTTTTTTGGTTCGTATATACTTTACCTCTGTCCCATTGTCATTAACAAGTAGGGTTTAACTTTGGGATTATGAATTTTGTTAGTCTCAAAACCAGTGGTCAATTAATTCTCATAGCAACTGTATTTATTAATGTTTACGGTTATAATATTGCTATTTAATGTCCCATTTTGCACAATATAAGCCTTGCAATATAAGAACTTTAAAATAAACCCTCATTTTGTGAATACATCATTTAGGGATAAATTATATTTCAAGAATTGTAAAGTAAAAGTTATTTGTATCTATATTTTCTCTATTTTAAAATGTCAACCAACATTGGCCTATTCCTCGTCAGAAATAAGATGGATGAGGAAGTCGAAGGGTCACATCAAGCCCTTCTGTGTGCAGGACATTTCACTCAAACAGAAGAATTTCCTGTAAGTGTGAAAGGACAAGTGGGCAGCGTGTGTATGTGCGCTGATGCTCATGGGTGTTCCAGGAAGAGCACCTGTGGTGTGCAGGGTCGAGCTGTGCTGGTGTCTGATATGTGTATGTGGGGGGCGAGAGGGTCTGCGTGACCCGTTAATGGCCTGGGGGGTATTTGATGACAGTTGCAGTAATCTGAAGCTGACTGGTGTCTCTTACACTCATTTAATCTTTGTCATCAAATCCCACCACCCGTCTGATTAATGGCTATGGTTCAACCCTGTTTTCAGAGCCTTATATGTGGCCATGATGAATGTCGATCTATGGCCATATTTTCCTCTAATATAACCATGAAAAACTATTACGAAAGACTTCCTCCTCCCCTCTTAACAGTTAAACTCTGTTTATGTACAGTATGTGTGTGTGTGTGTGTGTGTCTGAGAAACTGATCTCTTCTATAAACGTCTTCTCTGTATCTTGCCAGGCGTCTAAATGATCTGTGGCTTGGATAAATCAAAACGGAAATGCAAATCATATAGCTAAGGTCAGCTTAGCCCGCTCTCATCACACACTAGCACCTTCCATCACACACTCATAAACGACAAACAAACACAAAGGTATGAAAGTGATATGCTTTTTATAATGGTCCACTTCTGAGGCAAGTTGTATGACTTAAAATTAGGATGATTTAGACTTAAAGGTGTCATATGATGCTTTTTTAAAGATCATTTTTTTATGTATTTGGTGTAACAGAATATGTTGACATGCTTTAATGTTCAAAAAACACATTATTTTTCAAATACTGTACATTATTGTAGGTCCTCTATGCCCCGCCTCTCTCAAACGCTTCGTTTTCTACAAAGTCCCTCCTTCCGACAAGCGCAGTCTACTCTTATGTATATAAATACACTGCAAAGGTAGTGTCACCAGTCTGCTTAGATAAAGTAGTTTTATTTTGAGAAACTGGGTTTTTAAAATGGAAGAACTAAACACAAATGTTCCAGGTCAGTGGCATCACATTTTTGAAAGACATTCAGTTTTGTTGAGGCACTTTAGGATGTAAAACAGATATGTAGATTATTATTATATTTTATATTAATCTTGGTGGACAGACATTTTATTGGAGCGTTTACGCACATTTGGTGTTTTCTGTACAGCCGAATATAGACAGATGCTGATTTGCAATTATCTGAATGAGTTTTTTAATGCAACTCAATTATTGTAGACACATAAAAACAAAAGGAACCGTGACTGGTCATATTTCATGGCAGTCAGATCTTTCATTGTCTATGTTTTTGGACTATATAAATACACTGCAAAGGTAGTGTCACCAGTCTGCTTAGATAAAGTAGTTTTATTTTGAGAAACTGGGTTTTTAAAATGGAAGAACTAAACACAAATGTTCCAGGTCAGTGGCATCACATTTTTGAAAGTCATTCAGTTTTGTTGAGGCACTTTATTTTATATTAATCTTGGTGGACAGACATTTTATTGGAGCGTTTACGCACATTTGGTGTTTTCTGTACAGCCGAATATAGACAGATGCTGATTTGCAATTATCTGAATGAGTTTTTTAATGCAACTCAATTATTGTAGACACATAAAAACAAAAGGAACCGTGACCGGTCATATTTCATGGCAGTCAGATCTTTCATTGTCTATGTTTTTGGCAAGAATAAGCTGTAAACTTGACCAGACTTTATGCCAGTGATCAAAAGTCTGGGCTATGTGAAGTTTTATTTTAGGACAAAATCATATGATATATAGTTTCATTATTTGTAACTATTCAATAATTATTGACCATAACATGTAAAGCGTCACAATTCGATATGCAAGCAAGTAATACAAAAGACCAAACACAAATTAAGTATGCAAATATTATGTTGATGTGATTGCTACTGTCAAAATTTTATCAGATTTGTTTTTTTAACTTGTACAAATATCACAGTTTAATCCAAAAAGGAAAGGAAAAAAGGAGCATGTTTGTGTGTAAAGGCCGGTTAGTTAACAGCAAAGGCCATTTGTCTTTTGCATGCAGCATATAGTGACACCCCACATACACACGCACACACACACATCTAACTTCTCTCGTCCCATTAGCAGTAGAATGCAGAGGGCTGGCACTGCCTCCTCCCCTGTCCAGTCCCCTCCTATGGCCAGTCTTAGCACTGTCATTTATAGCACAGCACACCATCAATCTTAATAGAAGTGAGAAGTGCAAAGAGCCGATGAAACAGCAGCCATGATCACTATTTCGGCCTGGGAGAGGGAGGGAGGGAGGAGTAGGACAGGAGAGAGATGAGTGTCCACGCCAGTAAAAGAGAGAAGGGGAAGGGAGAGAGGAGAAGTGAAATGCTTGGGAGCCCTGTGAGAGCTTTTCACGTTCCAGGGGGGGGGGGGGGGAATAAAAATCGGATCATTAGGTATTTACATTACTCATCTGATGATTAATGATAATAATGTGTGTTTTGGCACAAATGAGTGTGTTTCCATTTGTAAATGTATTTTTGTGTGTCAGAGCTGAGGGTTCTAAAATTATTCAGAACTATGAAAATCAAAGTTTCACACATGACTTTTAATTATGCCATAGTGCAACTGATG